AAAGAGAATCATAAGATTATTATTTATCGTAACACAACACATTTTCTACCTCACCTCGCCCCACCCCCACAGGCAACAAAAAATGGCCGGTCCAAAAGATCGAGAGGACCGACGGTAGAGCGTATCACTTTAACTCTCACCGATATTAGGTATCTGTTACTTTTGTATCACACCTTCTAAGCACGTTACCTTCATAAAAGGGACACAGATTGAAGGGCTTCTTTTTATAGTCCAAAGGGCGCCCCGTGAATGAAGGGTCCAAGGAATTACTATATCTGCTATCTTAACGTACCTGGTTTGACCCACCCGATGGCACCGATCCTCCGCTTGTTTGTCATTGTACGGGTTAAAGTCAACGTCGTGCAAGATCACAACATTTGCTGCCGTTAGATTGATACCCAGGCCTCCTACAGATGATGAAAAGACCTTGCATTATGATTGAAAATATGAAAAGCGGTTTGTTTAAGAGGATATGTCTATAGCCTGTTATAAACGAAGGTTAACTCTGATCTGTCGATTGGTTCATAACTACTGAAGTTTACAGCGGAAAACTGCAACTCCTCCTGGATGGAATGCCTGTCATTCGTGTAGTCTCCATCCTAATTCGCCAAACAGTTTTACTGAAAAGAGATCATGATATGACCTCAACGTCTGACGCTGCCGACCATTCATGTTCTTTAATGGAATAGAGGAAGTGTAAGAGTGAAGCGTCTTTCCCAGGAACATAGGGAACACATAGGTCAACAACCCGGGTACCTCATGAACCCGAAATCACGCTTATTATCAGGCCGCCATATCATTTTAACTAGAAAGGGAAAATCAATACTGAAAACTTAAAACTTTCCACTAGGCTCATCGCAGATTCGAACAGGAAATGAAAGACAAACCTGCTTTGGTCGAAAGAAGAAAGACAAAGATATCCGGATCATCATTAAACTTGTCAATTAGGTTTTGCCTGTAGGAAGAAAACACAGGTGCATTGATTTACAATCGGATAAACTCGCAAGGAATGGAAAAATTGTAGGTCACATGATCTTGTCAAATCAGTAAATTAAGTGATTGTGTGACACGTTGCAATCGATTTCAAATCAAGAAATGAAGCAAACATAACATGCTTGGGCACTGGGATTATTCATAGTGAAGAGATCTGAAAAAAGAACAAAAAAAAAAAAAAAGAAGGCGGCTGCTATTAAGGCTGCTTTTGCAATTTGGGTGGTATGGCGTCAGCTTTTTTTTATCGCCCCAGCAGTAGTCTCCTTAGCGGCCGCTCTTTGGGCCTGTCCCTGAACGCTTTCTCCAAAAGAACCTTCCGCTAAGGAAGCAATGAGGTTAAAAAAAACAACAACCAAAAAACGGCTTTGAAGGAGGCTACCAGCTAAAGGCTGGACAGAAGATTACCTATCTACTACAGCCGTCTGTCCATCCAGTCTCAAGTAACGATGACGTCTGTCCGACAAATAGACCTCGATGATATCCATCACCATGGTAAACTGACTGAACAGCAACACACGGCAATTCTAGAAGCACCAAAAGAACAAAACTGAACCAAAGAAGTCAAGGTTTGCTTAAACTAAACCTATAACAATTGCGTAATTCTTCACCTCCTCTCATTTTTCGCCCCAAATCTCTCGCGGCATTGCAGCTTATTCATGCAACCCTAACGCATAAAAGCGCAATAAAAACAGCTTGGTAGATGGGCTAGGAGCGAAGTGGTGTGTATCCCACAAAGCAAGCGAAAAAAAACAAAAAAAAAACCCTTCTTGAGCCGCGCTTACGGTAAACAACACGATTTACTTCTAATTTTGCTCATCAATCCTCGTACACCCAACGGAAAATAGAAGAATATCTCCTTTTCACACAAAATTCTGACACGCAAATTGCAAAAGTCAGTTACTGTCGCTTGTCGGTCGTGTAAGTTCACTAACGTTATTTCGCGCGCCCTTGAAAGTAGTTAGTGCCCAAGAAGCTAAAAAGAGACCGTGGAAACCGACAGAGTATACGTGTACTTAGAATTCCGGTCGATCACATATACGTTTGCACGACGTTATATTCGAATACTTGACTAACTACATATAGCAGACAAATACAAACCTTTTCCTTTAATCCGGGTAATAGTGTATCTAAGTACTCAAATTTTCCTGATTTCATCAAAATTTCTTTATTAAGACAATGATCCGCCAAACTCTATAACGTTGAGCACAAATCAAATCAAATACACAAACCAAAAATCGAAATAACAAAACAAATACAAAAGAAAAAAAAAAGCTGCAATCAGGCGACCAACATAGACTAACTCATCATCTGTATGCGATAACCTGATATAACACCAAATTCTTTCAGTTCACGATTTACGCGAGCCATGGCGATTATCATTTGCATTATTTTTGCACCCGACAAACTAGAAGGGAGAATTTCTGAAATAATAAAAAAAAAATAAAAAAAATTGGGAATTACATGGTGAAAGTTCTTTGGATCACATTACATGATCCAGAAGATCATCGTGTACACCATAATTCTATCGGTCTCGCAAAATACCTTTTGTGACGCTGCAAAGAAACGCTCATGTACCATGCCATACATTGAAAGGATACAATTAGAAAGACGCAATTGCCTTTTCTTTTTGTGAAACAATTATCAAGAGAAGTGTTCTCTTGCATTGTACCTGTTCCCCTCGACAGAGACAATGTAGTTCAAAGTCAGACATCACTGTCATATCCTCGAAAACCAGATCCGGCTCAGAATCGCGGTGCACGGGGTCCTGGGAAATAATTAGATGTTTTTCTTATCGGTTTAAAATAGTGATTGCACACTTTCGCAGACTGTAGCATTAACATCGTATCAATCCATGTACCACTTGATTTAGCAAACTAGAAAAGTCTTTCGATTCTTAAAAATTTGTTTTCAACTTCAAAAAAAAGGGCTGTAACGTCAATGCGACAAACAGCGTCCTCGTCATCGTCATTAACCACTTAACGGATTGTTTTTCAAGTTCAAAAAAAAGTCCAAACCTTGCAGTATTTCTTTGCCATCTTCAGTAGTATGCTATCGTTGAAGTGATTACGTAGTAGAAGAGGATGATTGGCGGCCTTCCGAAGTAACATCAAAATATTGCTGTATTGTGAGCCGCCATCTGAAGAGAAGAAAGAGAACATTAACCGTTTACACCTTAACATAAGTGTACAATTCCTCCATACTGTTCTCCACATATTTCTTAAGATGCTGACAAGGAGAATTTGTTTAATAATCAAGAGCTTCTTAAGTTGGTGATCATTCCCTTTGTTCTCGTGACCTTCATGTTTGATTCAGGGTTGATATTGAAAGGAGAAAATAGATCCTGCTCACTCTTAGCGCTAAAAAAAGTTGTTTACCACACAAGTTAGGTTAATCGTGTAGATGTTTTCTTCTACATTATTCATAAAACGCCATAGCTTCAAATGTAACTCCATACTATTTATTCGCAAGTTTAGTTTGGTCGCATTCACATGAAAGTCAACAGTAAAACCAAACCAAGGAACAGTTCCCTAGTCGCTATTACGTGGTTGGATATGATCAGGCGAAAAAAGTTGATGGCTATGGTCTTGTAAGCCTTTTCGCCCCTAGAAGCTAAACAAGAAATCGAAAACGGGTTCGTCCACTGATTTTCTGTTTAGGGCTGGTCCTAAAGAAGAAGATAAGGCTTTGCAGGGGATAACCTAATTTGTTAGCAACTACCTTTTGTACAACAATTGTGCAGGTTGGTGGCGCTACCGACCCTCTAAAACATATAAGGCCTGCTCTTTGCAAGTTGTACTAACAAGCAGCACATAACTGTTTCAATTTTCGCACAGTTTACTTGGAATTTCGTGAAGTTTCCGCTTTCGGTATCCAATCACAACAAGACTCAAGCACTCTTGAGCGTTTTCAACGACTTAAGTTGTAACTTATGAAGCTCTGTGGTGACGTATTGTAATTTAAATCTCTCCAGACGAAATTTAGGCCATTAAAAATGTACCAACAACCTTACCCGACTCCCTAAATTGTCTTGAACAGTTCACAAAGTTGTCGTTGTACAACTGACGCTGTTCTTCCGTCAAGTCCACCTTGACTACGAGATCGTGTTTGGCAGGAAGCTGTTGTAGAACCTTGAGAAGGACAATTAGTTATCAGAGCACAATTTCTCCTCCGAATGACGATGTAATTAAAGGTATTGGGGAGAATAAAAGAAGTGGAAGGACAGAAAGGTCGAGGCAGATCCAAAGAAAAATCTGATTCAAGTCTCAATCTTAAGGCCCTAACCCCCACCCCCCTCCACCGGCGCGACGACGACTTCGACTATTTGTTCTTTCTGAAACGTTTCTACGAGGGTGTTGTCCTTGACACACAGTCGAGGTGTTGACAACAAGGGGGAGAGGCAAGGTGTTACTGTCTCGTTCCAATCCCATCTCAGACTGACACTTTCGCTTCTCGCCTCACAACCTTTGTCTCGAAAAGAGTGAGACAGAAAGCCAGACTGCATATCAGTGTAATGAGACATGAATCATAAAACGGGGCTCAGATTAAGCGCGTATTTAACCAATATAAAAACCAAACAAACAAGAAAACAAAAGTATATTTTTGACGCGTTTTCAATTTCAAGAATACTCACATCTTTCTTGAGCCTTCTTAGTACAAACGGTTTCATGATTCTTTTTGCCTGAGCAACTGTTGCTTTCTCGTAATTGCTCCCTGGTTTATCATTCTGTGAAAAACAGAACTTACACTTGGAAAACTGACGGCAATAAATAAGATCCCGATGGGACACTTTTTGATTAATAATAGTAATGGGACTGAGTGGAGTCCTCAATTTTTTTTCAGGATAAGTGGTTGTTGCTATGGTTATTGTGATCTACTCTGTGATAGGTGGATATAGCTGAGTGCACTTAGTATGATTGGCTGCTTCAACTATCCGATGACGGGTGTTCGATTACAGCCATCTGTCCAATTAGAACTACACAATGCACCAATCAAATTTAAGGAAATTGTAACGGTTATGATTATGCGCCGCACCACAAAAACCAAAAAAATAATAACGGCTCGTTAGAACAAAGAAAAAGATCACATTGAAAAGAGCTGACCCGAGCATGCGTCTTAACAAAATTGTGAGTCGAGTTGCTAAGCCGTTTGTGTATAGAATTGTTCTAGAATTTTTTCCGCGATGCACGAAATGGTCTGACACCGTCTTTAGTTAAGCCTTTACACCCTACCATCAGTATGCATATTCCCCATACTGTACTCAATACATTTTCTAAGGTGCTCACAGGGAGAATTTGGTTAACAATCAAGAGCCTCATTTGTTGGTGATCATTTCCTTCATTCTTGTGACCTTAATGTGTGATTCAGAGCAATATTATGAGGAAAAATTAGATGCTGGCCAATTTTAGGAGTCAAAGGGTTTTCGTACCATTTTGCTGTTAGAAAAGAGCATCTTGATCCCCTGAACACTCTCACCAAACATGCTCGGCATCACAAAACTTAGCAGAGACATCAACTCCAACAAGTTGTTCTGTAGTGGTGTTCCTGTTAGAAGAAGCCGACGACGGGCCTAAGCGATAAAAGAAACAAAATGTGAGGCGTTACAATGTACTGCCATATATACTTTTGATCATATACGATCTTGCTCTTCTTCGTGATCCGCGACCACGCGAAACGTGAAGAACTCGATTAGATAACCGCTATTCGTGATTTCAACACTTACTCCCCGTGATTTCAGCTCTCGATTTGTTAGGTTCTGTTTATGAAAGTCAGTGAAGACTATGAAAGCATGAACGCAACCATAGCATCGGTTCATGCTTTTAACTTCAATTTGCACGGTTCTAAATTAAAAAACATCAGACGGCCTCTCTAGGTTGTGTTTCTTGAAAAACCCCTCCAATGGTCTCTTACGCCAAGTACTCCAAGCCTACAGGATTAAATGTTCAGTTACTTTCTTCGTTTTTCGTTTTCTTGGAGAACTGAAACATGGGATCGAGAGATGTGCGTAAGCTCGACCGTTCACCTTTGACCGCAAACGTGGTTGATGCAGCACTTTACCACAAAGTAACAGTGTACCCACCTTCATTTTCATAAGTCCCTGGTATCTCTGTGACTGCATGTTTTTCAACATATGCCCCTCGTCCAGTACTACGTAATTACAATTTAGTTTTCTTAAAAAGGAACGATCGTCTTTTGTACCAGTTGCGACTGTGTAGCTATAGAACACCAAACAAAACAAAAAATTAATTTCATTCCGATGTATGACAGTGGTATTGGACAGATAGCTGAAGACCAGGGCACAATTGGTGAAATAAAGTGCAAATAACGCTATCCAAGAGGTAAATCGCTATATCGTTATTAAACGGAAATGATTCAACAAAATGTTCTGTGCTATTCACTGAAAGAGATTTACCCTGCGGATAGCGCTATCCACCCTTCGATCAAACGGAGCCAGAGTTGTCCAGATATTTTTGAGTATCCAGCACAAATAGACAATAACGGACAAAGGTTAAAAATTAATTCAGATCAAGAGAGATACTTCACTCCTCTGTCCAATTAAAGAAGCCGGCACTTCAGAAGCGAGTTGCGGCGAAAAAACGCCACGCACCGGCTCTTCTAGAGAACACTACTTTAAACTTACGTCGTAATGAAAACATCAGGTTTTGGTTCTGCTAAATCCACCTCGCATTGCAACTGAAGTCTCTCTGCTTGACTCCCTAATTCATGATGGAATCAAGACCATTACAATAATAATTGTTGTGAATTACACGAGCGCTATTGTTGTAGTTTAAAAGAAAATCTGGCTACTGAACCCGCACATGCCGCTTGCCGGGTTGGCTGAGTCAAGGTAGAGAGGCTGCAAACCCCACGACAACGGTTTTAGAATAAGGTTTCCATACGGTGTGTGAAAGTTTCCGCAGGGTTCCAAAGGGTCTTCGAAAGCTTCTGAAGGGTCACAAAAGGTGTCGGAAAGTTTCCGATGAGTTTCCCAAAATTCTTCGAAAGTTTCCGAGAGTTTTCCGAGTTGTCTCTGAAAGTTTCCGAAGGATTCCAAAGGATTTCCGGAAGTTTCTGCGGGGTTTCCAAAGGGTTTTAAGAATGTATCCCAAGGGTTTTATAAGGTTAAGTCAACCACGATAAAACTCAAAATCAAATGCAAATGAGGAACTTTCCTTAATTCTTACCATAATACAAAAAGAATTCTAATGATGGGCACCATTTCTTGGCTTCTCTGCCCCAATTATCTGCGATCATAAAAAAAGACCAAAAAAGGACCAACTTTGGTCAAAACCACTCAACTTGAAATTAGTTTAAATGCAAATCACATTGTGGCTTTGACACAAAAAAACTCACGGAGTAAAAAAGGCAACAAAAAAACCGATAAGATATTTTAAATAGAATAAGAGAGATTGTAACTTTTGAGCTCGGTAAAGAAATAGAGAAGGATGTTTTTCGTATTGTTACAAGTGCGGAATAAAGATAAGATAGTTATAAGGTAAGATGTTCGTTACCAAGAGTTGATGCCGGAACAATAATCAAATGAGGGCCTTTCTCTCCAGATTCACACAAATAAGCTAGAAAAGCAATGGCTTGAACTGTCTTTCCGAGACCCTGAAACATGTAAATACTCATGTATCAAACACATGAACTGAAAGCAGACACAGATGTTATTACTGAGCAGCAAACATAACATTTACCATTTCATCCGCTAAAATTCCATTGACTCCCTGTTCGTGCATCAGTACCAGCCAGTTAAGACTTGTCAACTGGTAGGGTTTCAGCTGAAGACTAACAAAAATGAAAATTTCATAAAACGTTGTCATGGATCTCAAATAAGACTGATTAATATTAACAAAAAAATGGGACTTGAGAAGCAAGTCTGGATAAGTGAGGTTTGACTTTATCAATAAACAAAAACAATGGCATAAAAAAGAAAAAAACAACAACCACTGAAACAAAGCTATTAGACCACATGGTTGGGTTATTAAACGACAGTAGTATATTACAAGAACATCTAAAGGCCTATTTACACGGCACGACTTTGTCGCATGCGACAAAGTCGTACCGTGGAAATAGGCCCTAACAGTATGTGGATATTGTTACCTTCTATTTAATATTTTTGGTTGAGATGTTATCACGGCTCCTCTTTTACGATCTGAAGAATCACTCTTGCCAGCCTAAAGATAAAATGTCATTTCAGAAATTATACAAATCAATATTTTGATGCAAATTTATTTAACCCTTTACATCCTAACATCAGTTTGCATATTCTCCACACAATTCTACATACATTTCCTAAGGTGCTGGCAAGGTGAATTTGTTTAACAATCAAGTGCCCCTTTAACTGGTGATCATTTCCTTTATTCTCAAGACCTTACCAAGTGATTCGGGGGTGATATTATAAGGAGAAATTAGATGCTAGGGTTCATCTACAGGTAACTCAAACATGCACAACTTACACTTAATCTTGAGTTAAGCATGTCTTGAATTTTGTTGGAGATGCTCTCACATTTGTTCATCAACTTCTCAACAGCTTTACGCTCTTCAAGCAGGCTTTGACAGTTGTCTATCAACTAAAAGACCAATTAACAATCACTGTCAAACTCGGAATCCCATGAACACCTGAAATATGTGAGTCTCCATGTTGTTTTTATGTTACGACATATAGCATGAGAGATCAGGACATGCAAGAAAAGCACAAAACCCCAATTAAAATAAGGTTACTGCCTAAAGTTAGGACTTCTGGTGTCTGATTAGTGCATTTTCCACAACACAAGAACTTATTACAAAATATTTCTGTCCTGTATGTTTTTTACAACATGACCCAGATATTGATCAAAACTGAACCAATGCAATGTCCACATTGTGTTGTGCACTCTGTATCTCTATGTGGAAATATACTCTGACTTTGAAGGTATTCAGAATACTTAAAATCAAAATAAGAAAAATCACCTCTGAAGATAAGTTCTTTGCAGAGTCCAGTTTGGAAACCTATAGTAAAAATCAAAATTAAGAAAATAACATAACAAAGAAAGGTGTCATAAAAATGTTATCTTATTTTCCAGCATATCAATTTCCAAAAGTCTTTAAGAAAATGAAACAAAACAATGATTTTCAGTTGGACATCATTTCCATACACAATACATCTTATGCCTGTTTACATCAAAATATGCATTTTTTCCCCAAGCCTGGCTTTTAAGGTGGAGACTGTTGAATTTTAATCAGAAAGTATTCCAAACAGTGAAATCAAAAGAATACCCATGTGATAAGAACAAGAAAGTAACAAAGACTAATGGATATTTTAGTACA